GTGCCCATGAGTTCAATCCCTGGTACCCTCCCCCAAAATAAAAATAGAAAATCAATGACAGCAAGGACCTTGATCCATCACTGTATCTCTAGTGGCTAGGAGGTAGCCAAGTTCAGGTAGGAAGTCAAAAAACCTGAAGAATAAACTCATTTTTTTTCTTAATTGATGATGGCCCTGAACATTTAGAATCCAGAGGAAGAAATTTGGATCTGATTTGTGAAATTTGGACTTAATGTGAGCTGCTATTAACTCTTTCTGATTTGATAAGAATGTCCATACATATCCTATGGCTATATTCTTTCCTCATGTCTATTCATTTTCTCTAGGAATTACATTGGGAATGCCAAGGAGGTAGAGTAAAATAGGTAGAGATTGTTCTGGAAGTTTAATAGAGCTAATGTGTGAGAGAAATTAATAGGTTAATACACTGGGGCACACAAGTCAGCCAGTTGGGAGAGATGACTTCTAAAAATATTTCTAACTCTAAATTGAGGATACTAAGAATAGAGAGGCACTAACAAAATAGGCAACACAAGCATATTTGTTTAAGCAGAGAATGAACAATTAAGAGCACTACCTTTGCAATTGATAGCTCTGTATACAGACCCAGTTTTGCTGCTTGATAGTTGTGTAAACTCTACCTTTTCTGATTTTGCATTCCAGGTCCATTAAAAAAAATACTTACTGAGTGCCTACTTTGTGCCTAAAGTTGTTCTAGGTGCTTGGAATGCATCTAGACAAACAGGCAACAAGCCCAGTCCTCAAGGAGTTTAGATTCTAGTTCTAAGTCTAGACCTCGGTCCTCCCAAATCCAAGCCAACTTCTGACTCTGCATCTCTGTTTCTTCCATCAGAGCCTAATTGACCGCATGATGTTGCTTCCTATGGATACCTTCTCCCATAGAGTGTGAGCACCTTGAGAGGTTGGCACTACTGGGTCACCAATTCATCACACAGGACATGGGACAGACAAATGAATAATAGTGAGCTGCTATTAACTCTTTCTGATTTGATTTATACTTCATTTTCTTATTCTCTCTCCATCTACTCTCTATCCTCTATCTATCTATGACTTAGTTTTGTTTAGACTCTCACTTTTTGGAGAAATTTGCAGATTCCACACAGAGCCATGTAGCACAGTGCTTAAAGCATTTTGATAGCAATGTTAAAAAACAAAAGCTTCTCTGCTTTTTCCTTACAGCCAGGGACATAAAGACCTGGTTGTGTAACTTGTGTGACTAGAGCCCAAGGGTAAGTCATGGCAGCAAACTCTGGGCAGCTAACACTTTTAATCCTGCCTTCTACCTGCTCTATCTAGAACTTTGGCCATACTAGAAGCATTCCTCAGCTCTAAAAGTCTGCCTTCACATTACTTCAGGGGGGAGGTGGTACTGTGTAGTGATTAGGAGGGTGGAATTTGGAATTGGTCCTGGGGTTTTAACCTAGCTGTGCCATTACTAGATGCATGAGGTTAGACAAGTCACTTTGACCTTCAAATTTCTCACCTGCCTCATAAGAACTTATAAGACACTAACAGCAGAGTGCATTGTAAATGGTTGTCAGTATTATTGCTTTTGTGTACACACTACACATTTCAGAAAGGCATCCAGAGCCAGTGAGGGTCCCTTGGATGCTAATTTTCATGTACAATTCCTGTTGAATCCTTTTGATTACAAAAAAGTGTATGAGTTGCCTGTTACCTGAGACACTTTCTCTGATGTCTACCCACAGAAAAGAGCTCCATATATTCTCCCCTTATATTAGAGATGTGGAAAATGAGGCCCAAATAGGTGAAGCACTGGGTCTTGGTGTTGTATGGTGAGTCAGTGGAAGAGTTGGCACTAGTACCTTTTCTTTTGATAGTGTCAGTTCTTATTCACTGGAGGGGTTTTGGCTTAAGGGAGATGGAAGCATTCCACATTTCTTCCTTGTCCTGGCCAAAAGTAATCAGTCTACCAGAAACTTCCATGGGGTAAGCACAGAAGGCTCTCCCTTCATCAATGTCATACCTTGGAAAACTATCTCTAGTGTAGATAACAGAAAGAATAAATATTTTTGTTGAGAGAAAAGAATGAAGACAAAGGTCAAAGGGAATCATGTAATGGGTTGAGTCAGGGAAAAAAAAAGAAAGCCTTTTTTTTTCTCTCTCCTCTTTTTCTCCCAAACAGTCTTTATATAGAACTTGTATAGAAGCCAATTTATTTGATACGGAAAAAATGTTAAAGCAGCAAAATACACATACACATATATGCACACACACAAAGAGGTATTTGTGGTGGGGTTCAGAACTAAAATTACCAAGAGATAAAGGAGATGAAGTGGAAGGTTGACTTGGAATGAAGTGATGTGTTTTCCTTTATTTTCAGACATTCAGAGAACATTAAGGTCAGAAAGCCCAGCCCAGGTCTCTAATAAAATTCTTGAGACTCAAGAAAGAAAAAGAAGAAGGTAAACTGGCATCTCAGTTCAGCCTTGTGCTTGTCAAATTTGAGGGTCTATAAAGGAGCATTTGGTGCATAAATGGTTCATGAGCGTGTGGAGTTGAACATTGGTGGTTTCGGGAAGCAAAATGGCATAGGCGTTGGTTTTTCACCAAGGGACAAGGTCCTTAGCACTCCTGTTGAGTGCCTTCAAGAAAGGGACCTGACTCCCAGTTCCCTGTACAGACTCTGGCACGTAGAATGTTCTCAATATATACTTGTTAACTAAATGAGTAGTTTCGAGAGTGGAAGAAAATTTGGAGGTTACTGGACTGCAAGGTTTGTTCAGAGCAGTCACTATTAAAATTGACCAGCACTGGAATCACCTAGAGAGACCCTGCCCACAGAAATTCTGATTCATAGGCTGGACTGTGGCCTCAGAACCTGTCCTTTGGAAGTTTCCAAGTGATGTAGATGCAGCTGGTCTGAATCCAGACTTGGAGAACCTATTTTAGTGCAGGGGATCTGCAACTTGGTTGCACATTGTAATTGCCTGTTGAGATTTTAAAAGTCCTGAAGGTTGCACCTTACTCTTTCCAATAAAATCAATACCTGGGAGGAGGGCAAGAGGGATGGAGGCTGACACTCAGAAAATTTTAAAAGAGTCCAAGTTTTGGGGTTAGGCAACTGAGTGTGAGAATCACTTCTCCTTGTAGAGTTGAGGCATTTAAAGACCAGAAAGGGCAAGCCACTTACCTAAGATAGTAGAGCAAGTAAGTGACTTAGCTAAGAATAGAACTCAGGGTGCTTTTACTTCTGTTTAACTTCTACCATTCCACACTTATCAACCCGTGTCAGCTCTCACAGACTCATAAATCAAGGCAAAAAATGAAAGCTGTGTATAAACTGAGGTTTTAAGACATCTATTACTTCTTTCCTCCATTGTTTTATAAAGAAATTTTAAGTGGATGCATATTTATAGAACTTTACCACTCCAGACAAGTGAGGAGATGGAAGAGACAGCGTTATGGAATATTTTCAAGGCAAGACGATCCTTTAAATTTTAAGTACATTCTTAAACACAGACCAAGTGCTCCCTCTGAGTTCTTCACCAGATGTTCTTCATCTCGGATTCAATGCATGGGTGAGGGTTTGCTTGAGATGTGCACATTAATTGCTGGCATGTAAAAGGAAGTGCTGGTAAAGTGTTTGAAAGTGGTTCTGTCTCTTAAAAAGATTAAAAGTTTCCTTCCAGAACTTGGTTTCCATTAATGATTGGCTGAGTAAATATTTTCAAGTAGACGGAGCAGAGATTATGTCTTATATCATCTTAGAACCAAATAAAGAGCCACAAAAGGCTTACAGAAACCATGGACTTGGACTTTTTCATCACACATAGGCGAAATTAAGGCTCAAACAGATTAACTGATTTATCTGACATTAGTAAGTGGACCAGCTGTGACTAGACGCAAAGCGTCTGAGTCCAGAGTTATGGTTCTTTCTAGTATTCAAAGCAGTCCCCATGTACATAGTGGGTATTTGATAAATGTTTGTTGATTGACAGCTTAGACCATTCTACCCACATAAGATGATTAAGGCTATATCAGTTTTCAGACTAAAGGGGAAGTTGGAATCACATCTCTGATTCAACTTAAGCTGAGTACACTGGCTTAGGAGTTGGGATTGGATGCTTGTCTTGATCTCATTGCTTCCTAACCCCATGATCTTAGACAAATGACTTTACAACTCTAAGCCCCAGTTTTCTCCTTTGAAAAATGTGGTTGTAGAGAGGATGAAATGAGTAAAAGATGAAATGACCTTAGCCCATTTTCTGGGACACAAGGAAAATCACTAATAACTTCATCATAGGGTGGCCTTCCACATAAAGCCTAAATCCTGGATATGTTTGAAGAACTGGTTTTAAAAGTGACGATTAAAGACAAGCACTATCTCACATGAAATCATTGAGTATCCCCCCATCCCTCAAAACAAACAAACAAACAAAAAAAACATGGATCCTAGAGCTACAAAGACCCTTAAGAGGTCCAAACACCTGTTTTCCATCTCAGGAAATGAGACAGAAACAAGGACTGTGATGCAACATTCACCTTCCAGCAAAATATATATGAAAATACTCAGGAGTATGCCCAATTCCCACGCCAATCTGCTATAACTTCATCTCTTTTTCATTCACCAAAAAAGCAATCAGAATGCTTGAATCTGCTTCAACTTCATAGAAAATGGAAATCATTAACAAACTTAGGTTCTTCTACCTTCATTGTAATAAGTGAGTTTCTTACAGCTATTCACATCCAACCTTGTTCATTTACTGATGGGGAGGCTAAGTTTCATAGGTTAGGGTCAAACATCAGAGGTGTCACCAGATTTAAGCCTCTTGGTTCCTTGCTTATCACACTCTTGCTACTATATCAATCCTGCCTTGTTGAGATGATTCTATAATCCCCAGAAGTGATTAGAGCCTGAGGAACTTTCTCCTTCCACTCCAGGTCTTTCTGACGCTCTGAACATCCCTCTACCACCTATCCACTTGATCAACTTCCTATGGAGAAGGCATACTTACATGTCTTTGAATCTTCTATTGAGGTGTAGGAGAGATGCCACGTCGTCTTGGAGAGGAGGGTCTCGGACCACTTTATACTGCAGAGGCTTACACTCCAGGCAGAGTGGGCTGTCTGCAACCGAGGTCAACATGGCAGCATCGATCTCCAGATGTTCATCCAATGTGTAGATCTGGATGCCATACACCTCCTCGCCCACATCCTGGAGTCTGATGGTCAGTGGAATGTCACAGAAAACATTCTGAGGGCCTAGGGAGATGTTCGCTCCACTGACAGTCAACAATTTGATGTCATTGACAGCTCCACTAGAGTCCCAGTCAGTGGAGACAAAGGTCACCCAGATAGCCAGAGACTCAGGGACTACGGGGTACCGGAATTCCAGCTCGAGGTAGCAGCCTTGTGGCTCAGGGCAGGCTGGAGGGACTGTGTGTGGGTTGACAGCTGAATTTGGGCTCCAGGTGCGGACGCTGGACTTACAGGGCTGTTCCACATCTGGATGACCTATGGAGAAGATGGGAGGGAATGAGCTCCTCAGTCAAGACCTTCATTCTGGTCATTAGAATTTCCCACAGACCCCATAAGGGACTGGTCTGATGAGAATGTAGAAAAATGAGAGAGAATTCTAGTGTTGTGATTAATCTTTTGTATACATAGCACCCAGTTTCTCCCCACCCCTGGAAAACAGATCTCGGATGAATCACCAGACATTTGGTCAAACTGCATTCAAATAAGTGTCTTACTATTGAGTTGATGTCCAAGATTCTCTTCCTAATCTTTCATTTGACAACTTTGCTCCTTAGCATAAAAATCATGTATGTCCCATGAACATGTTTAATTTTTTGCAAGGATTCATTTATAAAGTGAGGAAACTAAGGCTCAGAAACGTGGAGTGAATGGACCAAGTTCATAAACTTGAAGTGTCAAGGTCAGCCTTAGAACCCAGCTTGACCTCATTCAGAAGTCCTTATAGTTCATTCTTTTTCATGATGGATGTGGAGTCACTAAAATAAGTGAGAATCCATGTGCTATTATAGCCTTTGTGACGTCCTGCTTGGACTGAAAGATACACCAGAAAACCCTGAGCGAAGAGGAGGTAAGCAAGGGTAGCATCCACCCCTTGGACTGGAGATCTGGGAGGAAATAGCCATGAAAAGCTGGAAAGCTCTGGAGCCACCTTATCTGTCTTCCTCCCTTTCCCTACGTGAGGTCATTCCAAACCACTGAGCTTCTCTGAGCTCTTTCCAGTCTGATTCAGGAAGGGGAGGGCTGGGATTCAGGAGGGGGAAGAGAGGGATTCTTCTACTCTTTCCCTAGGGAACTGACCTCAGCCTGCCATGACTTCTGAATTTTTCTCTGCTGAAATCACATCTAGACCCTCAGAGAGCTCTTCCCTACACTACTGAGAAAAGTAACCAGGATGCAGCAATTGGCTCTAACTTGCTTATGGGAGCCTAGTTACAGAGCATCTGGTGAGGGTAGAATGGGGGACATTCAGGTTGTGCTATTAGCCATACTCCTTTTCATGTTCAGTATCAGTGGTTGGTGGCTATGGCGGTGAGGACACCGGACATTTCTAAAGCAAAAAGGAAAAAAAAAAAGTGATCTTTGTTTGAAAACACCTTTTGGTAATGTCACAAGGTCCAGGTAGGAGGTATAGGAATCAGCACCAAATGAGTATTAGAAAGCCACGTGGGGTAGAAAAGCAACTCTCGAAAAAGCTGTAAATGCCTCCAACCTCTTTGGCTCTGCCAAGACAAGGAAGAAGAGAGAAGACACCAACCACGTGGAGATGGAAAAGAGGAGAAAAGGGAACAAGGGAAATGCACAGACTTTTGAAGATACAAGTCATCAAAACAAGAAGAGATGGCTATAAATATAAGATTCCCTCCAACCCTCCTTGACTAGGTTCATTCATTATTCACAACAACTGCTGGCTAGAAGCAACCTTTAGTTTAAATGAAAAGCACAAATAAAACTTCCTGCCCAGCTGAAGATTTTCCCCTGTCTGCTCCCCAACCCACTGGATTTCTGACTCAGGTTTTGTGGATGGTGGGCCCATGTGTATTACTTGTTCATTCAGTAAACATTATTGAGGGCAAAACTTTACAGTATATGAAGCACATTCCTTAGTGATTAGTGAACTCATCTGATTGTCATCAAAGCCCTGAAGAATGGGTAACATTCCTGTCTGTTTTACAGGTCTATTTCACTCTATGCCACTGAGTCTTTGCTTAATAACATTGCAAACAGCAGATGCTCAATCAGTATTTGTTAAATGAAGAACATTCTACCTTGTGAACACAGAGTTAAAAAAAATAAAGTTACTGTGTGGATTAGAGCCTGCTGCCTGGAGGTGGGTGCCAGGTGAGTGTGCTCCACCCTCCATGGGCTTTCTCCCAGAATTGGCAAGGGATAAAATGATCTTTCTCCCTTCCTTGGAGAAAATGACTATCAGTGGTGGGAAGCCACAGGAGAGCAAAGATGACAAATCTGTTTGGCTCGTCCTTCCTCCCTGGTTTCTTGTTAATCAACAGGGACCAAATGCTTTCCAAAGGACAAGAAGGTGAGCCTGGTCATTATGCTCCAGTAAGTAAACAGAAGTAGCAGTCTTAGGGAAGCTTATCCGTGTCTGGTTATTAGAGACAGACCCTGAGTTGTAAAGAACAGCCACAAGGGTCATGAAGTCCAGCCCATCCCCAAAGCAGCAATCCCTGCCATAACACCAGGCTTCAGGAATCGAGCATCCTCTACGTGCAGGCACCGTGCCAAATGCATTACATGCCTGAGCTCCTTTCATGCTGGCAGTAAGTCTATGGTGCAGGTTTTATGAAACTCTTTTTACAGAAGAGGAAACTGAGACTCAGATGGTTAAGTAATCCCTGGTGGGGAGTAGAATATTATGTGATACTGTTGGTCCAGGCAGCGTGCCAGGCTTTGAAGCAATGAAAGTTGGGTTAAAATGTCAACTATGCAGCTTCTCATTGTTACCTACTGTACTGTTACCTACCTCACCGGGTTGCTGTAAAATGCAAATGGAACGAGATCACTAATAAATGCTCATCAATGTATTAAGCTTGGTCCTGAAAAGGAAGGAAGAACTAATGAGGAAAATCTTGGTGGGAGGAGGAATTCTAAGCAAAGAGAAGAGTGGAGAGAGAGGGAGAGCTAAGGTGACCCTGGTTTGCAGAGTGATGGGAGAAGAGCAAATGCTGAGGCTGGAAAGATGCGTTAGGAAGCGTCTTGTATGTCACATTAAGGAAAGTGAGCGTCAAAGGAGACCGATGAAGAGGTACTGGGAAATTTAAGCAGAGGAACGTTAGATTTGCTTTTAGAAAATTCACTACTTGGAGAATGTTAAGGTTTACATGTAAGGTGTCCCCAAAGACATGAAAGAAAATTTAGCGATGAAATGATTGGGTTATAAGAGGCTTAACATAACCAGGACATTAATCCCCCGACAGGGATTAACTTGGTAGTAACGGTAGGCAGGTAGGGGCCCTGGGGGTATGTCTTTGGGGTTTATATTTTGTCTTGGTGGGGAGAACTCTCTTTCTCTTTGATTCCTGGTGCAATGCCCTAATTTGCTTTCCTACACTCTACACTTCCACTATGATGTCCTGCCTCACCTCAGGCCCCAAGGAATGGAGTCCACTGCCTATGGACTGAGACCTCTGAAACCTTGAGCCCCCAAATAAACTTTTCCTCCTTTAACTGTTCTTGACATGTCTTTTGGTCATAGCAGCAGAAAAGCTGACTAAAACAGAGACACAGGTACTATGTACCCCTCCAACCATCTATCCATCTTAGCATTCAAAGAATAATTATTGAGTGCCAGGCCTGTGTCCAGAGAAAGGCTAGCCCCCGGGGGAACAGGGTTCTAGACACTGTCTTCATGAAGCTTCCAGTCTGGCAAGGTTTGGAGACTCCTGCATTAATATACAGGATACAACTAAGGCTGGGGCAAAGACAGCATCAGAGATGACAAGTCAGAGTTGCTAAGGAGGAAAATAGACAGGGCTGGGAGATTGATTGGGTGTGTTTTTGAGGCAGGGAGAGGGGCCAAGAAAAAGGAACCAATAGTAGAAGAAAGAAAGGAGGGAATACTCTGGAAAACAGTATGAAGATTCCTCAGAAACCTTGGAATGGAACTACCCTTTGACCCAGTTATCCCACTCCTTGGATTATATCCAGAGGAGTTAATCAGCCTACTATAGTGACTCACCCACATCAATATTCACATCAACTAAGCTATGGAACCTACTCAAGTGCCCTTCAACAGATGAAATGGATAAAGAAAACATACCCAATGGAATATTACTCAGCCATAAAGAAGAATGAAGTTATGGTATTTGCTGCTAAATGGATGGGACTGGAGGCTATCATGCTAAGTGAAATAAGCCAATCCTAAAAAATCCTTTGTCTCTCTGATATGACAAAGCTAACTCTCAATAGGTGGGGGTTGGGGGAAGGATGAGTGGAGGTTCTCTGGATTGGACGGGGAGATGGGGGAAAGAAAGGGGGGATGGGAACAAGAAAGTCAGTAGAATGAATTGGTCATAATTTTACTATGTTCATATATGAACACATGGCCAGTGTGACTCCACATCATGTACAATCACAAGAATGGAAAGTTATACTCCATGTATGTATGATATGTCAAAATACATTCTAGTGCCATATATAACTAAAAAGAACAAATTAAGAAAAAGTAGGGAAGGAAGAAAGAAAGGGGAAAAGGAGAGTAGAGCAAAGGAGGGAAAAGCAGGAAAGAAAGAGAAGTCCAAAGTCCTCATTATTAATAATGTATGTGGTAACGAAATGTACATATGGCAACTAAATGAAAGGTTCCATGTTGATATAAACGGATAGAGTGAGGTCACAGATGTGTGCAGAGATGTATTTATACATATTATGCTGATCTGCATTTACATCATGATGCTCTGTATAGACACCTACGCTGTGTCTATCTGTAGGTACACTGGAACTGGAGACATGAATATTGTCATAAAAACTTGGTGCCGGGGCTTTTTCTAGATGTATAGATGAGCACCCTGAAATAGTCTGGCCAGAACAATGAAGAAAGCACCCACACAAACAAGAAAAAATGGAAACAATTAGTGCCATGTGTCAGTCTCTCATGGTAAACCCAACACTTGGAACGCACAAGTAATCTTAAATGGGATTTGCACCTGCCAGATCCAGCTACCTAATTCCAGGCTGTACGTGTATCATGGGAAATACCTCAGGAAGTATCCCTCTGTGAGACCGTTCCTGCTCAAGAAAATAGGAGTGCATCCACTTTCTGTGAACAAAAGGAGGAAGTCTGTGACCATCTACCTTCTTTGAAATTAGGTTAATGGAGCACAATAGACATCCAACAAATAGCTGTTTGGATGTAGAACCTTCTGTCTTCTTAGTGTGAAATTAAAAAAGACGTTACAGCTCTACTATTAGAGCTGGGAAAGACATTAGAATCCCACTGTCCATTCTATGGGCAAGAGTTGTGAAGGGACTCACTCGGGTCCTGGATCATGTTGATGGAGGGGCTGGGACCAAGGTGTGGTCCTCCTCATCCCCTGCCCTCCAACTGTACTTTTTTATTCCCAACCCACAGATATGTCTGGCATCACTTATGAATCTGGGAGTTTTCTGTTAGTTTGGGAAGTCCAAAAACTTAAACACACAAAGATAAATAGGATGAAAATGAGTTGAGAAAGAAATTGCAGAGTTTGGCTCATGGAAAAGTTTATTTCTTCAAGGATATTAAAAGAGTCTGAGCCAAACGGATCACAGAGCCTGTAATAGGATGCTCTAAAAAAAGAACGGTGTCTTTCCCTGGCCGGCATGTGCTAAATTTACATAGGAGGAAAACCCAGAGTGTCTGGGTTTCCTTGGAGGCCCGAGTCAGCTCAGGAAACCAGGGGATTCTGCGCTTGCAGTGGAACCCCCGTATCGCAGGTCACAGGTTAAGAGGGTCGGGGACAAACTGACAGTTGGTTTGGATGGAGGTGTGAGGAGATGTCTGGAAATCGTGTCACTCAAACAAGAAGCAGAACAAGCCAACATGATGCTAGCCAGAGAAGCATCAGGGAGATCCTTGCTGATTCCACCTCCCGAATCTCTCTCCACTCCTTCAACTCCTCTCCATTCTTACTTCCACAAACCTCACCCGGGGTACCACCTTTCCAAGCCTGGATCCAGGTACAGCCACTCATCATTCCCTGTCTTCCTGGACTTTCCACCCTGCATCGTTTCTCTGCAGAACTGCTCAAGCAATCTTTATAACATGCACACCTCACCATAAACACAACCCAGACCAAAGCATGGGGTGTCTGGTCACTGCCCTCAGGGTGAATTCAAACCCATCCTCACCCGGTCATTTTCCACCTCACCTATGGAACCTCTCCTGGCCCCATCAAGCTCTCATGCTTTACACCCATTTAAACTTGTACAGAATTTCACAGGCTCTCCTATGTAGTCCATCTCTATTGGTAGCTACCATATTATAAATAAGAAGCAAGAATTTTAAAACTCATGATTACAAATGTGCCTTCTCTTGGTCAGCCATCAGAGCACTAAGAACATCATATATTATGCATCCAATGGAAAACCCCACTGTGTTCTCTGAAGAGAATGAAAGTGAAACAGGCAAATGGTATCCTAGTGACATCATGAAAACAATTCTGACTTTGTGGATACCATGAAATCCCTTCCAGAAAGCCTCTGGATCAAGTTTAGAAAACTGCTGCTCTAAACATATTAGAGTTCTTCCCATTCTCAAATGCACTTCGTGACATTTCATGGGGAGCCTATGTCTCCTACCTACTGGTCCCCAACTCTTCACAACTAATGACATAGTTCTCTTTACACTGAATGGTCATGGCCCATTTGCTCATCTGACTGCTCTGGCAGACGGTCAGGGCAGCCTTGCCCTCTACTCAGGACAGAACCCAGCCCCATCCTGAGGCTGTCTCAGTTGAGAATAGGTTTATTCTATGAAAGTATGTAAAATATTGCCAGTTATCAGGGACACACACAGCTTCCGCTGTGACATCTCAGAGTGCATTGGGTAGGGGTGAAAAAATTCCAACCAAAAATTTAAGGAAGTACTTTCTAAAACAAATGAAGCTATATAACAGGGTACCGGGGAGCCTCAGTGAGGAAGTACATAGAGGGGATTCCTGCACTGGGTGGGAACCGGAGCTGGATGACCCCAGGCATCCCTTCCAACTCTGACAGCGTGTGATTCTGCGAGGCTGAGCCGAGGGTTTCTCCCAGACATCCCTCTTGCTTTACATTCCAGATGGATTTGTTTAGAGTTCCCGAGTTCAACTCTCATTTTTATTTTAAGCTACTTTAGAAAATAAAGTACAGTGCCATCATTTTTAAACTTTGCTTTCCTCTCTGATCTCTCTTCTAGCTTTAGTCTATCTCTGGCTTTCCCTTTTCAACCTTCTTTCTAAAAATACAGAGGATAGCAGAGAAGTTCTCACTGGCGCTCAATGAGGAGACAGATTCTGCTTCCTCTGATGAACTGGTGTAATAGTGTCCCCACCCAGTGACTGTTGGCATGAGCTGACCTGTACAACAGCAAGAATTACTGGGTGGGGTCAGGCTCCATATGCAAGTCTCTGAGGGACAGGAATGGGGAGATAGAGAAGGGGAGGAAGGCACAGGGTCTCTGCCACCCTGGCCTCAGGGTCAAGTGACAGATGGCGCTTGGCAAAGGTGTTCTCTTAGTTACTGTAGAGAACAGAGCAGCTGTTTTCTATATAAAGTGATTATTCTGTAAGAGGGCACAGTTGTTGGCCCTTTGGAAAGCCTGAGAGACAACCCCAAGCAGGGTAGAGTCTGATGATGGGTGCAGCCCAGAACAGTGGCTATGGCGGGGAGAGCTTTCCTTAAGCTTCTTGTAGGTAAATGGATCTCCAAAAAGAGGTACGAGGAAGACATTAAAAGGAATATATGTGACACATGTGAGAATTCCCTGGAAGTCTCAGAAATAAGAAAAATCAAAGATTATTGACACCTCGAAGACCTCAAATAGGTGCATCGACTAAGGTGACCTTGTTTGTACCCACAGACAGCTGAAGTCTGCAGGCTACATAAACACCTTTGCATACGGCATCTTTATCAGGTATGTGGCCTCTTGGTGCCTCATTTCCTCACTGGTGTCATGAAAATAACATACCTAGGACAACATAAGTGCTCCAGATATTTGTTGAATGAGTGACTGCGTGAATACTGGCCTTTCAAGGTGATCTTAAGATCAAACGAGATGGTATAGGGGAAAGACCATAATAAATCACTGAATGCCATATAGGAAAGACTTGTTCTTCGCACACCTCCTCGTCAATGCGTATCCAGAAAACTGTCTTACCTTCGGCTTCCCGAGGGCTCCAGTGTCCTGATGGGCCACAGGGCATTGGAGAGGAGGCGTTGAAGGCATACTGCACCAGGATCCTCCCTTCCAGGCAAAGGTCACATGCTGATCCCAATTCTCTAGGAGGCCAAGGAAAGAGGGGAAATGCACAGACTTAGGAACAGTTGGATGAGCAACTGATGGGACTAGACCAAAGCAACAGGGCAGAAGACACACATTTTATCTCTCTCTCTCTCTCTCTCTCTCTCTCTCTCACACACACACTTCTCCCAACGTATGCTAAGGTTCAAAAAAATGACTGTAAGTGAAATTTCTCCCTTTGCCTAGGACCTCATATGGGCCAAAGTGGCTTCTGTCCGGATGGTGCATATGCTTTTCTCATTTGAAGCAGCACAAAACAACAAGCCAGAGGCCCATCATCTGCAGTAATTTTAATTTCATCTGGCTGAGAATTTGCCATGTGGTTGTGAGAAAATCTGTTGCCTCATCTTGTCCTCAAAAGTGACTCTTTTAACAATATTCAGCAGGTATCTACTATGTGCCAGGTGCAATCCTGTGTCATAGGCATTAAATATGAATAAGGCATGGATCCCTCATCTGAAGCTAAGTGATCTGGATGAGATGATGCCCGGGGAACCTTCCAGCCCTGACATTCTGGGGATGGATGAGTCACTCCTTAACTTAACAGTCAAAAACAGTTTCTTAACTATGCCATCTAATTCATTTTAGCAGCTTTCCAGGGGAAGAGCCAATCCCTCAATGGGACCAGCCCCAGAAGTGGAATATTATGGTGGCTTCCCCTACTGTCTTGTGTATCTGGATTCAATCTCCCTTTGGCCATAACAGCCCTCTGGGATCCTACTTGCTCTCTAAATTTCTTTGCAGAGAAATTTAGAAGACAGTTGTGGGGAAGGCAAAAGGATGAGTCTTTTCCTGCCGTATGATTGTGGATCCCAAACCCTACATAACTGAGTGAACTCTAAGAGGAATTAGAAACTGAATCTAGAGATACTCAGCCTAACTCTTCATTTCTTAAAATGCAATATCCTGCTGTCTATCAACCTAAAAGGAATCTCTGTGCTTCGGCTACCTGAAAGGACACAATGAAGAGCCAGATCATTAAGTGTTAGGGCTCTCCCATCTCAGGGAAACTCCCTGTGCCTCCAGGCTCCAGTGGTAAGGAAGACATGCATGTGAGCATCACAGTCTGACTGTGGCCAGATCGTCCCCAAACCTCAATCTCAATGGGCCATGCTTACTTCATTGGGTAAATCCAGCCCCCAATAACCCATACTATGGCATCCAACACCCCAGAGAACTGTTCTTCCCATCACTCTGGCCTTGTTTCTCTCTGCTGATAGGCTCTGGTGAGCTGCCACATTGAGTCATGTTGTCCTCTCCCCCAATCCTTGCTTCTGTCACCTCATCCTTCAAGGTTCTCCTAGGATATCATTTCTTATATGAAGACAAATGAATTTCTCTCAGTAGTCTATGAGGTTCTTAAGGACACAGTCCATATTTTATGATTCTCTGTTTCTTCCAGGGCCAAGGATAACTTATTTCATAGTGTTGACCATCATATCTAGTTAATGGATACATGGATGAATAAATATCAGTCACTCAGATGCACGGCTAATATTTATGGCTAACCTAATCCAGACCTTCAAATTGCATGTTCTGCATTCTCAGGCGTATAATTGCAAGTGCCAAACTATACAACAGGTAGAAATTTTGCAAGCAGAATAATATTCAATGATAGGAGAACAATGAAAAAAAAAAAACTATGGTTAATCTGTTGAATGGAAGGCAAGAAGTTATTATGAAAGCATTTATAAAAATTATGCAATTTTATGCAAAATGTGTAAACTATAATATTAAGATGAAAAAGTCATATTCAAAGCTGAATTTGCAAATGTCTCAACACTATTCAAATAATCTATATGACAAAATATTATTGTTAGTTGCTTCTGAATGGTGGAACTTATAGTGATTGATTTCCTCCCTTGTGCTTATTCTTCTTGATTTTTGAAATTTTCTATACGTTTTAAATGCATGTAAGTTATTCTCATAAGAGCAATAATAGTAATTATATAAATGTACTTGTTGGGAATTAATTAGGGGTGGAGAGAGAAACTTGTTCAGCATTGTTAATGAGGGCAATTTCCTTAGACTGACTGTAATCCATGCTCAGCAACTCTTGAGTCACATGACTAGCTTTAGGGTGACAATGAGACTACAAATGTCCTGGAATGGGTTCAGGAACCATTGACCTTAATGGTCACAGGGATTTTCTTTCTATTTCCTTTAGATGTTTTTCTTTACATGATACACACAAAATCACTTGAATTTCATTAAATTCTCAACATATCCCAGGTCCCTAAGAAATGCTCAGATAAGTGAACAAACCATCAACAGACCAAGAGCAAATGGGTGACGTCCTACACATCCTGGGAGTGCATGTGCTTCCTACCTTTGACATTTATTTGATTTTCATGGGCATCTGTGTCTACACCCAAACACACACTGAAGTCATATACCCACAGGATGCTAATGCTGAGAGAGATCATCTTTCTTACCCAGGTTCTGTGAGACTCAAAGCTTAAAGCTTTAAATCTGTGCTGTTCAATACGGCAGCTACCAGACACTTGCTGCTACTTAAACTTAGGCCAATTAATAGTAAATATAAAAATTCTGTTTTTCAATCACACTAGTTGTAGTTCAAGTGCTCTTTTGCCACAGCTGGATAGCGGTTACCAACTTGGACAGTGTGGACATGGAAGATTTCCATGACCACATAAAGCCCTATTAGAGAGTGCTTCTCTAAGACATTCTTTATATAAAATGAATTAACTTGTCTCCATTACAACTAGAATTATACTGATTATGTCCTATCTTCGAGATAAGTGAAAAAAAATAGTTACTCAAATTGTTTTCTGTGTTCTGAGATATGGAAGAGAAAACTTGGTGGGGAAAGGCTAGAACCCTTTGGGCTTACAGATGAGAAGAACACTGAGGCTGAAGAGGCAGAGGGAATGGACGGGTTTGCATTCAAACCCAGGTCTCTTGGTTCTGAGGCCAGTATTTTCTCCAATACACCATAGCCAATTGTTCAAATAACTGAAACCACCCAGTCAACACATGTTTGCAAGGCAGATAAAAATAAAGGAGCTAGAAAAACCAGGGGTGGCCTTGAATTATTTACTCAGTTGCCCATGTGTGAGGACACAGGCTGTGGGAGGATTTGAATATGTTTTTTTTAAGGGAAACCCTTGTATTCTCTTAGACCACAGATGTGAGAACAGCAGGAGGACTTGAGCATGGCCGGGGGTGAGACGTTGGCATTGATGGATGACGTGGAAAACACCAGAGGTTTTGCAGGGAAAGGGGATTTTCGAGTAGCTAAACAGCTTCAGAAAACATTGCACAAGATGGAAGCTAAAATTGCCTGAGTGTAGAGTCTATGTGCTTGTCCTATCGCAGATGTCATCTTGTTGAATTTCCCACAAAAGCTGGGTGATGTGGGCACAGTGAGCACCTTTATTTTGGAAGAAGACACAGAGGATCAGAGAAGTGAGATGGCTTACCCAACGTCCAGTCAGCCGGGAGTAACAAAACCGAGAAGGGAAAATGGATGACTTGACATCAAAGCTTGAACACTCTGTACTAAGCCAATTTGCAGGAATGTAAACTCCAAGTGTATGGGAGAGTGATATACTTAAAATGTAGTTCTGTTTCAGCAATTTATTGAACTTGGGGACCAAGTTCCATTAGCTATAGACGACGGTTCATGTAGCTGTTAACCCTAATTAGATACGTTTCAAAAGTGTCAGTTTTAATTTAACCTATGATAACTCCATTATGAAATCTTAGACGGCACAGAATAGCTATTGTATGAGCCTCCAGTACCAACTGACTATAGGTTATTAAAAACATATTGATTGAAGCTGAGGGCACTATGTAATAGAGACATATCTCATTACACAACAATTAACCCTCCAATAGGCTTCCAACAATCAGATGGTATTTATTTAATGGACAATAACTGCTTTATGAAATACAAATTGAATACATACACAGGAAGCTGCATTTACAAAACTTCCATTTTTAAGTAGAATCGAGGCCAAGGACGGAGCAAAAGCCCGAAACTTCTCATCACCACAGAAAAAATAAATAAGTCTACGGGCTGCTGGAAAGCCTCCTCTGAAGTGTCACATGAGGTTTCCCAAACCCAGTGCTGAGCTCCCAGTGAGAGCAGCTGGGGCAGAAGAGAGGGAGTTTCTACAGAGAGCCCAGGGAGTACGTCTCCTTCCACATGGATCGCACTCATCCAGCTGCCCAAGAAGGCTGAGATTCAGGGACTGATGGAAATGTGGAAAATCGGAGCCTGAATTTTGCATGGTGCCATGATATATCATGATCTTAAATTTTTAAAAATTCTGTTTATAACTGACATTGAGAATTTGTGAGGTACAATGTGATGTTTTGATACATGTTTACTATATGGAGTGATTAAACCAGGCTAATTAACAAACCCACTCCCTTTCATACTATGCATTTTGTGCCAAAAAAAATTGATCTAACCTTTTAGCAATTTTAGAAAATACGATGCACTTTTGGGTAGTAGGATCACCATTTTTGCAATAAGATCAGGAAAGCTTATTTCTCCTGTCTAACTACTATTGGGTACCCTTTGATCAACATCTTACCTTCCTCAGGAACCCTCCTCCTCAGCCTCTGTTAGGCATCATTCTGCTCTCCACTTCTATGAGTTTAACTTTTAAAAATTCCACATCTAATTGAGATCGGGTGGCATTGGTCTTTCTGTATCTGGCTTATTTCAATTAGCATAATGTATTCCAGATTCATCCATGTTGTCACAAATGACAGGATTTCCCCTCTTTTAAGGCTGAATAGTATTCTCTTGTGTATACACACCACATCCACAAAATCTTTATCCATTCATCTCATGGAGGATTCTTAACTGGTTTCCACAGCTCAGCCATAATGAACAATGCTACAACGAACCATGAGAGTGTGGATAATTCTTCTGCATACTGATTTCCATCTCTGTGGATAAATACCCAGAAAAGGGATTGCAGGATCATAAGGTGTCTCTATTTTTAGTTTTCTGAGGAGCCCCCATACTGTTTTCCACAATGGCTGTATTTATTTACATTCCCACCAATAGCCTCGGAATGTTCCCTTTCTTCCACGTCTTCTCCAACCCTTGTTACCTTTTGTCTTCTTGATAATAACCATCCTAACAGTGAGAGAAAATATTGTAGCTTTTCTATGCATTTCACTGATAATTAGTGACCTTGAATGTATTTTCATTTACCTTTTGGCTATCTCTATGTCTTCTTTTGAGAAGGGTCTACTGAGGTCCTTTGTTTAATATATTTTTGTACGCACATGAGCACTCATAGAGAATCTTGAAGATGGGAGCTGTTTGTCACCCCTTTGTGGCTCATTTGCAGGAAGGTACAATACCTCCTTCATAACTCTAGTTCATGGGAGTCATAGACAAAACATTGGAAAGTATGAGTTGGAGTCCAGCCCCTACTACATTCTAGGGGCTTTTGGTCAAGTCTCTCATCTTTTTTCAACTCCAATTCTCTCCTTATCTGGCATATGAGGAAGATGATCTCTTTCTTAGTGGGGTACTGGAGATGTTAAATCAGACTCTATCAGCAAAGCATTTAGTATACAATCAGCCACACCATAAGCACTTGAAAAATAGCAGCAACCCCAATAGAGAAACAATACTTAATTATCAGCATGGCTATCATTTTCACCAACATCAATGTTATAGCAATGTTGCTAGAGGAAACATCCCCAAGAGGAGCTGTGAGTGGGGTGATATACTCATCTTCCCTGAATTATAGAAGAGATCCAAAATAGATGTTAACGTTACGTTATGTGATCATGAACCCTTTAAACCTGGCTCCCTCCAGACCTGAGCTCCTCAGGGATTCTTCAGGCTGAAAGGAACCACTGGGAACCGTTTAGTTCAGGTCTTTGCCTTCTGTCCATTGAGTGTTATCAGACCCACTTTCCAGAGAGAAGAGAATAAAACTCAGAGAGGGAGAGTGATTTGTTGTCTAAGGTCATATACCCAATTGGTGATTGACAAGGAAGGGAGTGGAACTAAGGTATATTTTTCTCTGGACTTCTAAATATTTCACCCTCAGCTCTAGAAATAAATAGCAGGCATAAATATTTTGAATAAATGTTATACATATACATTCATGCAAATATATACATGCATACACATGTGCCACAACAGAAAATGTGAATTATACATAATAGAACATGAAGGGTTTGGCCCATTAACCAATTTCTGCTCCCAAGATCATGGAGACCGGAACCTCCCTCTCAAAGGAGGTTTCTAGCAATAGAAGTTTTTAAGTTCTTAATAATAAAGTAAATCTAAACATGTATTCACTTAAAATTGGGTATCATTAACCTATTCTTTTCTATCAGCAAGCATTTGTTCATTCCCTGACCCAAAATTTACCACCTGCTTCCAGGTACCAATCACTGTGCTAAGGGGCAGAGGTGTCCATTTAACAAGCACAAGAAACAGAGCATACACAGCAAAACCCCTCTCCAAGGCTGCCTCCCTTCCATGTTTCCCCTCTTCTTGGCAGGAAAGAGAGAGTGGGATCAACACTTCACAGGCCACACTCACCTTTCAAAGAAGTGGCCATCGATCGGTGGGAACCACTCCAGCGTCACGGAGTCCATGGTGTGGCCCACGACCTGGGGCGCGAGAGCCACGGGCGCCGGCTTTCTGGAGGGCTGCCAGCTCTGGTACACCAAGTCCAGGTAACAGTGCATTCTGGCGACTTGATTGGGCGTGAAGGAGTCTGTACAGTCGTCATCTGCAAGCAGGCAGAGGGAGAGATAAGCACCGAGCTGCACAGGCAGGCAACAGAACGATGACGTCTCTTGGCGGCCAGAGAGCCAGCCAGCACCCGGGTCCTTCCTTGCCAACTCAGGGTGGCCTCTTCCAGTGCTCAAGAGTTAATGGTCTGTGAACAAATTAGTGTAGTCATCACTCCTGCAGACAGGTAAGAGGAAGCAGGAGGAAGGGGAGGGTGGATGGAACCGGAAAACTATGTCTGAGACTGGGGAGAGGGCAGCCAGGCAGCACAGCTGAGGACAAGGGCAGGCGAGAGGCTTTCTAGGGTCTCCAAATCCTCGGGTCCCCAAGGAGTCCCTCACTGCCTCCCTTCCCCCATCTCATCCACTCTCTTGCTCACTCATCCTCTTGCTTATCACTCACTAGTTCATGTGCTCACCAGTTTCCCCAAGTCTTCCCTCGCCTTCATTCATCCACTCATTTGTCAATACTTTTTTTAATGGATGCAATGATATGGCCCTTCACGAAGCCTTCTGAGCATCTAACGCAAATCCTCTGCTCCATTAAGGGGCATGGAAAGAAGAAACCGAAAAAGAATTTGAAGAGCTTTTGGTCTAGTTATGGGGTCAAGGCCAGCGTACTGTATGCATCAAGGTTGCTCTAAGGTCGCAGAAGTCTGTGATGTCCACCACCACCAATGATCGGAGGGAGACAGCAGGAGGGGAAGGAGGGGAGCCAGAAAGGCTTCTGAAGAGGGAGAGATCTGAGGTCAGATTACATGGCTGGGACTAGGAATGAAAGTTGGGCGGCGTTGCCAGAGAGGAAACTCACAGCCCAGAACCTCCGTGTCCTGTGCAAGAGCACAGGACAGGTCAGAATCAGGCAGGCTCAGCTCAGTGTGCAGATGGGAAAATGCAGTTATACCCCCGCTCATAGTTCTGTCCCTGGGACACGTGCTTAGTATGAGCCAAGCATGAATCAAACATGGTGCATAGTCTTGGGGACACATTTAAACCCCTCTCCCCCAATACTCACTATTTTTTGGAGTGCCTTCTATCATTTTCTCCATCTTACAGAAAAGGAAACCAGGGATGAGAGAGGGCAAAAGCAACTTTTCCAAGATCACAGAGCTAAGCACAGATCTGAGATTTGAACCCCAGCAGCCAAGACTCCTGTCTGTGCTTCTAATGAGCATGAGAAATTCTTTTTTTTTTTTTTTTTTTTAATTTTTTATTGTTGGCTGTTCAAAACATTACATAGTTCTTGTTATATCATATTTCACAATTTGATTCAAGTGGGTTATGAGCTCCCATTTTTACCCCATAAATAAATATAATATAAATATAAAATAAATATAATATAAATGAGAAATTCTTTCTGAGAGTAAATGAGAACTCGTATGCACAAAGTCTCCTGCAGGTGGCTGATAGATAAGAGTGGAGACTGGATCTGAGCCTGAGGGAGATGGGAATGTTATCTCTCAGGGGCCTTTTGGTCTAATGATCCTCAATCTTTCTCTTTCTCTCTCTCTCTCTTTCAGGATGTGGATTAAAGATGTGACCCAAGACCTGGCCCCCAGAGAGCAAGGCACTGTTTGGGCTTGGTTTCCAAAAACATCACCTCTCAGAAGTGTCTGTGTGGTCAGGGTTTCTGTAGCTGGGCCCCAGACAGAGGAGTACATCACTTGTCTGATCTTAAAATAAACCTGCTACTGAGAATCCTGCAGCATAAACTCACTTCTCCTTATCAAACAAACAGAAAATAAGTTGGTCAGGTGCTGGGGAGTTAGACATGACCTTGACGGGAAGGGACAGACATGTGAGGGAGTTCATACCCAAAAGCTGCCTTGAATCCCTTGGTGATTTTTAAGTCTCCTCCCAGCTTTCCTTCCCAGCTCTCACTTGGAGGAAGCAGAAAAACCTGATGTCCCTTTAGAAGCATTGTATAAGAGTGACTGGGTAAACCATCTCGAAGTCAGATACACCTGCAACTCCATGAATACCAAACATTCTAGGGCTCCCCAATGCCCAAACACCTCTGTTAAAGAATGGCCGGATCATCTGGTCATTTTTTTCTTCATCCTGAAAACCTTAGAAGAGCTACTGAATAGGTCAGATGCAGGAAATCATCATGATGGCTAAGGAAAGAAGTATAGTTATTTATTCAGAGTAATGCACGTAGGATCTGAAGTCAAACGGACAAGTGACTTTGTCCTTGGTTTCCCCATCTGTAAATGAAGACGGTGATAATAACAAGAGTGCTCATCTTGGCACATGGTGAAGGTGAAAGAGTGCAGGGTCCAAGAGCAATGTCTACTGTTGTTCGGTGGTATCTTACTACCTCACGTTAGGGAATATTGTGTGCACATGATTGTGCATGACTGTAGAAAGAAGGAAGCAGGCAGAAAAGTAGAATGCAAAACACATGTTCTTTTTGATCTAGCAATTCACAGTCATGAGTTCAACAGATAGATGTTCCTGTTCAAATATGGGGGGAAATACATGTGTTGGGATATTCCTTGAAGCATTGCTGATAATAGTAAAAATATTAGAGCTGAGGGGTGTGGCTCAGTGGTAGAACACTTGCCCAGTGATGTGAGGTCCTGGGTTCAATCCCCAGCACCACAGGGGAAAAATAAATCAGAGCTGATACATCTGTCCATTAATAGAGAGCTGACTCTCTATGATAGGGCATAGAATGAAATACTATCACTACCGAAAAATGAAGTAACTAAGAAATGTCTTCATGTACAAATTAGAGACATTCAAATCAACTTCAACCCATGGGTAATTGTGAGAATTCGACGAGGCAGGGGGCATATAAAACATTTATCAAGATGAGTGGGGATGAACAACAGTAAGGACGTTTCCCTCTGTCAATTTCAGATGTATTTGCTTTTTCCCCTAGAGAAGTATATTTTCCTTCATAACTTAAAAACTAAACTTTTTCATGTTTGTCAGTAAAAAATTCTGGAAATAGACAGGTAATAGAATTTAGGGGGGGATAAGAATGTATTTGAAGATTAAAGCTGAAGCTGGAAGACACCTGTCCCAGGGCACATCACATAGAGAATCACCTGCTATCAGAACCTTGGGTGAGGTCCCACAGGCTTTACTTTTATCACAAATGCTCTGTCTCAATTAGCTAATGTCTCAAGTCAGCCCTACTTGGCTTCCTGCCCCTAAATGTCCCTCTCCCACTACCTGTGGCCACTTCATCCTGGCCTCCAGGAACAGCCAGCTCCTGGGGTTCTTCTGTGCCCATGTTACCCCTAAGCAGAAAGGACCTGCCCAGGTCACCATACTGTTGTTACAGTGTTCTGGGCTTGCCAACTGAGTCTTGGTCTCAAGAACTAATTTGCACCGGTAGCTGGAAGTTTGCACTCTAGGACTTTGGGCAGAAATGCTGACCCTGTCAGCCTCAGTTTCACCCACCGTGAACTGAGGAATACTATACCTGCCTCATAAAGCAGATGAGACCCATTTAACAAGCTAACCATATCTAGGGCACGGATGCCTGAGTCAACTTTTGTAAAAGTCTTTTTTTTTGTTTTTAAAATAATTATAAAGAAAATAATAGCCCTAATAATAAATTATTATAGAAGTTATAGATATTTACTCTAGAATATTTGAAATATTCCTAGGGATAGGATGGAAGGATCAAAGCATTTGTGCACAGTAAAAGACTCTGACACATGAAATATGGGAACATGGCTTGTAGTCTGGAGAAACCCTGATTTCTTATAGTCTTAAGGAGGTTCCAAGTGGAGGGTCCTCTTGAGTACCCCCTTTGTATGGCCTATTATCTTCAGGTGGAGGGTCAGGGCTGCTGCCCATCTATAAGTTAAAGGTTGTCCAACAGTTCAAAATAAATATACTCCCTTGGTACTTCCTGTTTGCCCCTATCACCTGCTTGCTGTCTGTTTGATCTGAGCACTTGGGACTCTTCCTCAGGATAGGAAAGCTCTATGGTAATAGACTTGGGTTTAAGTCACAACTTTGGCCCATTTTATCTGTGTGACCCTGGGCAAGTTACTTAAGTTATCTGAACTACACTTTGTGTATCTGTAAAACAGGTATGATGAGAACAGCTCTCACCTCCTTGAATTATTTTTGAGGATTCAACACACACAATGCCTGACATATCTTAGGTACTTAAGAATTGCTGAAGGGGAGGTTTTGGGGAAAGAGATTGGTCAAATTATATGATGTGGATATATGAATAAGCCACAATGAATTCCACTATTCTGTATAATCAAAATGCACCAATAAAAAAAGAATTATCCTAAGCTTGAGAAGGCCAATATGGTGGCTACAAGCACATGTGACTTTTTCAATTTAAATTAGTTAAAATGATTTGAGAATAATAATTCAGGTCCTTGTCACCCTGGTTGCATTTCCAATGCTCAAGGATCCCATGTGGCTAGTGGCTGCCATATTGAAAAGCACAGACACAAACCATGGTCAGATTTGCACAAAGTTCTGCTGGGCCATGCTGCATTGACTAAAACTTTTACCCAACCATGGACCAGGCTTGGGGAAGAAGCATCCAGAAATGAAAGGCCACGGGAAGAAGTTGACTGGATAATGCTTCTACCCTTTCTTCTTGAAGAAGGGAGTCCTGGGCCCTGCCTTCTCCAGCCCTGAGAACCCAATCCCGTTCTGCATTTTGAATTCCATCCAGCTGCTTTTGTCACCCCATCTGTCAGAGATCCTAAGGGAAACAAACATTTCAAAGCTCGTGGTCGCCTTGAATATGCTTTTGCGGGTGTAAGTTTGTTATCGTAGTTCAGTGAATTAGTTCTGCTGTTAATGGGTCACTGAGCTGAGGGGGTTCCTTTCAAAAAAACAACAGTAAATCCATCACTCTTTAGATCTGTACAAAGGGGAACAAAAAAAAAGTTTAGTTTATGGGGGTCTGGTAGCTAGTGGCTGCTTCTAGGCCCCTAAGAGGCCGGCAAACTTCCAAACTCATGTTATTGTTTATTTTCCATGTGTGTTGAGCTGGCCAAGGAAAGGTGCTACGGAAATGGAACGTAAGCAGGGCTGTGTGAGGGGACAGGGGCACCGGATGTGGAGTGTCAGTGTGGCTGGGAATGGGAGCCCAGTGGGAATGTGCTTTTGAGGAAATACCCAACACCCTGGTGTATTTTTAGAGATTTAAATCTAAAGACTCTTTATGGTACCAGAAGTGGGTTACTGGCTTTTCAAGAGATGTCAAATTTGACTGTAGGAAACTTATAAAAAAAAAAAAAGGTCCCAAGAGGACATCAACCCAAAGGGGAAAAGAGGAGGGACCAGTGGGTTCATCAAATCTTATGGGTTTCAGTAGTAAAATCCTCTCTTTAAATATTATCCCTGTCAAAACTCCTACGGAAATGTCCGTCAGTTGGAAAGGGGCTTCCCTGGTTCAAGCAGGAATGGGGGCCTAGACCCCCACTCTCATGGCACCATGGAGCAGCTACCCCAGGCACCTCTGTGGAACAAAGTATGAAAACCACCCAAGGTGGGTGCTCAATTCTTCCACACATGTGACTTGGAGCAAAGGACTGCAGTAAACCTCAGTACTGTCACGGGGTGGGGGGATCCTACCCCACAGATGAGTTGTGAAAATTAAATGACATGGAGCATATTAAAGTATTTTATGGGTAATAAATTGTTTTATGAGGGGAAATACTGTTATCAGTAAGAATCCATTTTACATATCTTCTGTAAGAGATTTTCTTTCTGTGTCTCTCCTCTCCTCCCCTCCCCACTTCCTTTCCTTTCTTCCTTCCTTCCTAACACACTTTTATTGGGCACCAGGCCCTGGGCTAAGTCCTGGAAATAAGTGATATATGAGATGCCATCTCTTCTTGTCAGAGAATCTGCTTGTTCTATTGGGGAAAGAGATGCCTACATTGAGTATTATTATAGAGTTCAATGCTGGCCTACTGTGTGCAAGTTTGTGGATGGCCCCTTTCACGTGGACTATTCACTGAAGGAGCTGGTGGTGAGGGTTGTGATAACCTGAGGAAGGTGTGTCTTGTCCTCATTTACCAAAGGTCTCAAAGGGCTTGTAGTGGCCTTGACAATCAGGTGCTGAAGGGAAACTCAGGGCATAGGAGAACCTAAAGCATCCTTGTTACTGATGGATAGAAAAGGTTTAAGCAGTTGTGAGAAAAACATGCCCAATCTCATGTAATAATTTGGCATTTGCAAAACCAAAAGCCCCCTTTTTTTTCTTTTTGCAAAAAAGCTATAAAGGAGGGTGCAAGAATCTTACATTTGTCTAAGAGAGATCTAGGTTAAATAAAAAAAAGGTTCAATAACCCCCCACTTTAGAAAAATATAAGTGAAAAACTGGAAGGGACTTTGGAGATCAGGCCCAGAGATCTTACTTTCTTGAGGAAAGTGAGAGCCAGAGAGGGGATACTTTCAAGCATTAGGTCTCAAGAGGACTTCTACCTGCATTTCCTGCATATGGGTCGCTGTCACCCTCCTAAAGCATGTCTTACTGAGAAGCTTTGATATGCATCATCTTCCTTGTAGCCCTAAGATGTTTAGGAAGGAAATATTTTTCTGATTGCTTGGGATAAGAACTCAGTCTTAGGAAAGGAAAGCAGCTTGTTTGAGGTTATCCCTGAGCCAGGACTGGAGCCCAGGTGTGATGCCCAAAGGGAGCACAGGGCCCTACCTGCATAGCTCATGAAGTTGTTGAAAGGAGTGTTGAAAAAGCTGTGAAAGCCACAGGTGTCATTTCCTGGTCCTGGGTCGCCACAAAATTTGTGTTTGGGGGCTGGGTTGGTGTCATTGCAGAGGTCTCCGGTCTCAAAAGAGGGCTCCGTCTCCATGCAGGGGTCGCTGCAGGACTGGATCTCTGAGATGCCTCGGAAGATGTGATAGAGGCCCAGGCTGTGCCCGATCTCGTGGATCATGGTGTGGGTGTGCCCAGGAATGCCGTAGAAAGAAGGGTTCAAGACAATGCCACCTACAAGGGGGAAACCAGAGTGTTAGGCAAGGTGGGTATTCTGCTTCCTGCTGCAAGAACCCTGAGTCAACCAAAGATAAGGGAAGCTTCCCAAATAGCAACAGGCTTCTCCACCCTGAGACTCTATAACCCTGAGTGCTGTTACAACCTGAGACATGAATCATGGGCTTACAGAGCAGGAAGGAGTTTCACAAGTCATTTTGGAAAATTCCTTCATTCTTAGATGACAACACTTATGCCTGGAGAGATGAAGCAACATACATGCAGCGATTTCAAACTATCTAGAAGGAGAGGCTTGAGTTGAATTCAAGGACTCTGATTTCTGGGCTGATAGGGCTTTCTGTTGTCACCTTTATCTTAGTAAGTAAGACATATCCTGGTTTACAAACAGCTTACACCTTCAGAACTAAATGAATCCCGCACATGAGCTTAGACATCTTGGTTCCAGTTCTCATTTTGCCTTCACTAACCGTGATATTGCACAAGTTCATTATTCCCAATGACTCTAAAAGCAACAACACTCATGAAGCCTAGTGTCATGTGCTCACCATTATAATAATGTTTCCTGAGCGTTTACTATGTACATTCAGGTGCTGTGCTGGGTATTTCATGAGTACTTTCACACTTAATCATCTTACAACTCCATGAGAGAGGCACAGATTCAAGAGAAGTAAAGTAACCCATCCATGATCAAGAGTAAGTGTGGAGCTGAGATTTGAACTCGAGATCCTTGGGTTCCAAAGCTAGGGTTCTTAATCTGTGTTCTACTACTAATGCCTACCCCAAGGCCTAGGATATAGTGTTTCATTAAATGTGTGTTGAATATTTCCTGAATATTGACTCATCTAAAGCAGGTTGGGAGGTCTAACTAATCCCTCAAAGCAGCTAGCCTAGTACCTGATATACATCAATTGTGCCACACAAGTGAATGACGGTCTACCCACATGAAAAAAAAAAAGCAGTATAAACATCTCCCAGGAGCTTAGTAGAAATGCAGAATCTCGGGCTCTATCCCAGACCCACAGCATCATGATCTGTATTTTAACAAGAACCCCAGATCACTTGTGTATGATCTAGTTTGGAAAGCCATGTTTTACATCCCATGTCCCCAAAGATGGAGCATTGCTTAGTTAGCTGAGGTTAGGTAGAGCAGTTCTCAGCAGAATCGATGGATGGAATTTGTTCCACATTTATTTTAAGTATTAGAAGGATGCATGCAGGTTGACAGAGAAATGTTTAAATTTCAAAATCCAAACATGTTTAAGAGAATGTTAAAATTCATGTCTGAGAACCTTGCAAGTGTAGACTTTAGCCACAGAGCAGCATCTTATGAAAGACAGGTGAGGAGGCAGGGCCTGGGTGATTTGGGCTGGCAAGCCCAGAGCAGGCCAGAGAGGAGTCTTATCTTGGACTGAACTGCTGGGGTGGTGAGCTTGCTCAATCCGGGGGCTCATGTGGTCTATTAATTCTGAATTACTCAGGACTTCTAACACAAAGATAAAGGTGTACATACGAGAGGGTGTGTGGGTGTGGGTGTGCATGTGTGCGTGGGCGTGAGAAGGGGAAGACAGAGGCAGGGAGGAAGAGAAATTGAGACAGGAAATCTTTCTCCATCATTTTCTGTCAATCATAATATGAAACATAATCCCCTTCGCACCCAAGGTTTTTTCCAAGGATCATGGTGTAACTGCAGGAATAAAGGATAAAAAAAAAATATGGTTCTAATAAATTGAGTTTGATTGGGGCTACTGCACAGGAGTTGCTTATGATCAACGTGTCTCAGAATGGGGAGGTGGCAGCTTTCAGGCTGGCTGGAGGTAGCCTGACATGGGTCACAATCCAAGTTCTGCTTCACAGTGGCTTTGTGAACTTGAGAAACTGACTGCATTTCGGAAGAGTTCTAAAATAATTGGCTGCAAAAGTGCTAATGATTCTTTATTGCTTCATGAAGCTTGCATATCAAGGTCATAGGGGGCAGAACCATTCTAAGTATAATGGCAGCACAGACAACTTTCATCCAGGCTGGCTCTGTTTGTTCTACCTTAATTCACCCCTTCCACAGTGACAACACTGGACCCAAGTCCTGTTTCATTGCTCCTCTTAAAAGGTGAAATAGCTTGAGCCTGACATCATCCTGAAATACTATAACATGCTATGGATTTATAGCCTCCCAAATTCCTGGCCCTGAGCCAGTCCCTGACATTCATGAAATTATCAGGAGTATTTTTCTCTAACTTTAGAAGCCTGCTGTTCAACCCTTCTCAGACTCTGATCATCACCCTTTGGGTTGCTTTTCCAGCAAGCAGAATTTCAGAGCTGAGAAGGGTCTTTGGAGGGCTATCCAGTCTAACCTGCCTAACTAAAATCTAAGGACATTGATACCTGGGAAGGAAAGAGATTTGTCTAAAGCCATACTGCTAAGTGAAGTCACAGGTGAGAACCATGTACTTTAGCTCTGGTTTAGTATGATTCCCAAACTTCATAGTAGGTATAAGATATAAAATGGTCATCTTCAGGTTTGCTTAAGTTGTATATTCTCTTCTGTCCAACCCCTGCCTCTCTGTGCCTTATCTCTGTCTGTCTATCCACCTGTCACTGATCTCAGGGTTTATCAGGGTTTCCCAATCTCAGCAACATTGATATTTTGGACTACAGAATTCTTCATTGTGGTCATTTCAAGGCATTTAGCAGCATTGCTGGCTTCTACTCGCTGCATGCCAGTAATATTTCCCCATTGGTAATAGTCAAATACGTCTCTACACATTGCCAAATGTCTGCTATTGGACAGAATTTCCCCAGTTAAAAACAACTAGATATTTATCTTTGCATCCATCTCTTTTCATTCATACATGTATACACACACACACACACACACACACAGATTTGTTTCATTTCTTAAATACAGTTGAGAAATAAAAGCAGTCTGAAGGGAACCAAGCTTATGGCTTAGTTGGGCACAACTTCCATCATCTGAAGTTGCAGAATCTCTCATCTCCAAGATATCCCAGAGTTAGAGCAGTTATTGAACTCTGAGTGTATCCCAGCGAGACCAGGCAGGTCTGAAGATCCAGCCAGCACTGTCATTTTGCTGAGCCCTAACATTCTCAGATGAAGATGTTCACTGAGTCATCAGAATTCACTGTTGTAAATAATGGGAACACTCTACCAAGAGGAGAATGGTTAAATCAATTGTAGTGCCTTTATTCAAAGGAATAGTATGTGACTATTAAAAATTTCATCTTTAGGGAGGTGTAAATAACCCAGAGAGATGCTTTTGTCTTGAGATTTTAAGTGAGAAAACTTAGTTGGAAAGTAATTGTAAGGCTTAGTTGGAAAGTATATGTAGACAGATAGCATAATATTAAGTGAAAAGAAAAAGAACTGTGTGTATTTACAGTTCAAAGATGCACAACATTTTTTTAAAGCACATCTACCTATAGATGTGTACTAGATAGAATATGGAAAAAAAATTAAAGAACTATAGTGATTTCTTATAGGCCCTGGTTCAGAAATCATTGTTATTTCTTATTGGTTTGTATAAATTTATGTTCTGTTTATGGACATGCATAATTTAAGTGTAAAAATGAGTAGATAGAACACAGAGGAACAGAAAGTTCTTACAAATGCACTTCCTCTTGCCTCTTTGCTCTCTCTCAGGCCAGCCCATGACCGGTCATGCTAATGCAGTTGATTACCTGTTTAAGAAGATGTTTGCATGAACTGGGAGACAAAATGTTAAGAATAAAGCAATCAATGGATAGTCAGAGACATGAGTTCTACTTGCAAATCTGTCACTGATTGAGTGTGATGTTAGATAAGCCTTATTCCCCTAAGTCTGAATTTCCTGCAGGTAAAATATGGCTATTAGTATTGTGCTATTTTCTTCAGTGCATTCCTTGGTGGCCAAAATGAGATAAGGAATGTTGAGTTTTGTAAATTAACAAGTAAATGGGTTGCTCACTATCACCACCCACCAGCTACACCATTGTGATCATGACAATGATCACGCTCACTACTAAATGTGTTACTGTCTATGTTCAGGTTCCTCCCGGAGGAGTTTCTAAGACTCACCTAAGTGCATGAGGGCCTCCTTATCCCATGGCCACGTTGCTACTCCCGCCAACTCCTCCTCTGAAGAGTTTGCAAAGAAAATATTGAGGTGTGTTGATCCATCCAATCGAAGAATGTTCTTCAGCTCATTAACATCCAAGTAGGCTCTGAAACAGAAAAAGAACTTTGGCTGTTATCATCATCCAAAAAAGGTACTATTCAAACAACAAGTACTCCCTAAATAATTAAGAGCTATTACGTGCCAGGCACTTTCCTCAACTCTTTGTAAACATCACTTTGTTGAATTTTCCTGATAACATTAAAAGATTAGATGATTCCATTTTTACAGATAACAAAAAAATTAAGTCTTGCAAATATTGCTCAGTTTATAAATAGCAGCATGACGTTTTGAATCTAGATTTGTCTATGGTCAATGTTTGTACCCCTAAGGACTCTGTTAAATTGACTGAGGACGGAGCCAATAACAGGAATGGATGAAAACACATATTTTCTATTCTTGGCTGCTTCTGCTTTTTGCTCATTCATTTGTGTTTTGGACCATCTATTTGGAAAATATGTGGATGCACTAGGAAAATGGGCTTCACATCTCTACATTAACCTTGCAAGGAGTCACTGTTATTCTGTTTTCAAGATGAGCAATCTGTGCCCCAGAGTTTTTAATAGGTTACCCAAAGTCACAGAAACAGGGTTCAAGGTCAACAGTGGAATGTAAGCCTGGAAACCTCTTTTAATGGAGGCATCTTGCCATCATCCATAGATGATTCTGCGCTCTCTGAAATTTTATTTCTACATCTGATTAGACTAGAGAGGGATATTGTGTTTGGGTTGCTGTCACTGTAGACTGACATGTCCTGAAAATGAATGAGCTCTTTAAGCAACAAGGATCAGCTCTTTAATACATGGGACGAATGTGTTCAAGAACGAGGGCAAAAGAGAGTGAGAGAACAAAGGAAGTGGTCACTGGCATATCCTAGGTGCTCAAGAAATAAGAACTCCTCCCCTGAGGAGCATGACTCTCATCAGAACATAAACACTGCATGTGAGAGAGTGCCTTCTGCTTTGGATCAGTCACAGGGATATTATTCCACAATTCATTTTATAAACACATTGTGCCCTGTCATGCTTTTTTAGGGGGGTGGGGAGTACCAGAGATTGAGTGGTGCTCAACCATTGAGTGCCATCCCCAGCCCTATTTTGTATTTTATTTAGAGATGGGGTCTCACTGAGTTGCTTAGCACTCCACTTTTGCTGAGGCTGGCTTTGAACTCACAATCCTCCTGCTTCAGCCTCCAGAGCTGCTGGGATTATAGGCATGTGCCACCATACCTGACCCTCTCATGCTTCTTTCTGCCCCATTTTGCCTGCCATCATGAATCTCAGGATCCTTGTAAGTAGTGGACAATCATTCCTGAGTACAGTTAGGAATGAATCCACGGATCAGTGAACATAAACCTAAATAAATACAAAAGCAGTCACCTTAAGCAGGAGATGAGATAAAGTCAACTAGTATTTGTTGGGTCCTTCTGTGTGGTCTAACTAGTCATTATTCTTTTTGATAACAAGGAGGTAGACAGTATTGGTATCCCCATTTTCTGGGTGCAGGAGAAACAGAGTCTCAGAGGAACTTCATTCTTCATACGGTCATGCAGCTAGTTGATAGTGTTCTGTTTTTTCATGGAGTTCTCACAGAACCTGGCCAGGAGCGCACATGGATCCCTTTCTTCCTTCCCTGTAGTCATGGAGGGGCCTCTCTACAAGTGAGGGTAAAGTCCAAGCCTCCAGCACGGCCCAAACATCCATCCCTGCCTACCCTTGGCTTCTCTCTCTCTGCCACCTCTCTTGAACTTTCCACTGTGTACAAACAGCACCTTTGAACCCACCATGATCTGGGTCCTTGGGACCTTTACCTACGCTGTTTCCTCTCTGGGCCTCTGCTCATTATTTGTCCTCTGATGAACAAACCTGAGGTCCATTCTGGTATCACTCCTCCAGAAGGCTGCACTGATGCCCACCTCACCACCACCACCCATTTCCATATCTGTACTCACCCACCTCCTTTTGGTGATGTATACTCTCACGTATGATTCCCATTAATCCCTTCACCTGTATGTATATATCTCTTTTTTGGGGGGCCATTTTCAGGCAAAGAAGCTACCTTATTATCTCTGTTTACCCAGTTCTTAGCTCGGGGCTTGACACCTAGGGAGCCAATGGATTAGAATTTAATTTAGAAAAAAACAAAAGCTAAAATATTTAAGTCCCAGAATCAGTTATACCAACCATGGACCATGAGGCCTCAGTTTCCTCATCATTGTATTGGGATTAGTAACACAGACACTCCACAGAACACTTTTGAGGATGGCAAGCCTACATCCTTCCATGCCCATGTCCATAGGATAGATAGGTCCAATACTTAGACTGTTCTTCTGTTATCCCCATGTCATAGAAAGCCTCATGCTCATGAGACCGAATGTTCACATGACCATAATTTTTATGGCTTGTCAGGAAAAATAAAATTTATCATGGGTGGGAGATACAGGCAAGGCGTGAACTGAATAATTCTAGGTATAGTCATATAAGAAAGATATTGACCCCAAATCTTCCTGCTGAGACCTCTCCCCCAGAAGTTCATGTGTGACTTCTAACACTGGAGGCTTCCTGAGGAGCTCTAATCAGTCTGTTCTGTCACCAGAGAGGGGGAAAGAGGGTGGAAAGTCCAGCATTTATTGAGCATTTGCTTCAAGTCAGCCCCTGGGCTGAGTAGGCACATTTTCTCATCTCTGTTTAGTATCTGAAGTATGTAGAATGGGCAGTGTGGCTTGTTCTCAAGCTATTGCCCCAGGGTTGAATCCAGCTTTTCTTCTTCAGGTTTGGGCCATCCTGGGCAATGGACTTAACTTCCTGTTTCTTTATGTATGGAAAGAAGGTGATAATAGATAATAGTACCAAACCCACAGAGTAGTTCAGAGGAGTAAGGAAGTTTTAATAGGGAAGGGTGAGGGTTTAGATTAGGGTGGGCAAGGAGAAAACCCTTGACACAGGTGTAGCAGTTTCTTAATTTATCCCCATCTTAATGACAGGAACAGGGGTTTGTCAATCATATAACTTGATAAGGCCAAGTACAGATTTAGATGTGTCCAACACTTCCCACCACCTTACCAAGTTCCCAAGCTACCCCAGACCCTCTTATAAAAGGGAAATGATACTTGGGAGGAGAATGAAAACACAGAGGAGCCGAGATTTTCTTGGATGGGCCCATTCCACATTATTTTTTTTCTCATTCCTTTGTCCATTTCCATCAAATGCAGAGAACATTTCCTAGTAACACTACTGTTACTAGGAAAAAAAAAAAAAACAACACCTCTGTCCCATTTCTCTGGGATGAGAGGAGGGCTCAGGGTGGGGTAGGGGTGTGGGAGATGTTTTAATTGGATGTTTATTCAGTGGTAATTGCAGAGCCAATCTTTATAAGGGTTGGTATTCATCCTGGCCCAAAGCAGAAATGTGGGATGCTGGAGCCTCTCCCTGGCTCATAGTGGGGTTTTCTCATACTTTGGGAAGTCTCCATTTCCCAAAGGGGGAAGAATCAATGGCGGCTGGCCAGACCCCTAGCCCCACTGGCCTTTCTCCTCCCCATCTCTCTTGGGGGGACCCACCCAAAGGAAAAAACAGCTCTGTGGCTAAAAATTTCTATTCTGCTGGCTGAGGGTTTCCTAAGAATACAGAGCCAAATGTGGTGTCTCCCAAATGCATCAGAGGGAAATCTTGGGAACAGGATTTACCTCCTTCCCCTATCCCTTGACAATGCTGTTTCCCTCTTGGCCAATGGAGGAGAAGAAAGCACAGGAGTTAAATTTAGAAGGAACATTCGAGTTTAGGAATATTAATGAGAAAAGGAAATGACTTGCTTAGGGTCCCTTCACTTTCCATTCTGCAACTATGGGAAGTCTGGCCCTGTGTGTGTGTGTGTGTGTGTGTGTGTATGCGCGCGCGCGCGCGCGCGCACGCACACATGCAAAATTGATCACAATTATTTTAGAAAAATCATTACCCCTAAGAAAAATCAACCCAAATCCAAAACACTATGTGTTTATTAATTTATGTCCACTGTATTCCTCAGAGATGGACAGACAGACTCATTTCCATGGGCAAGTTGCTTTAAGTCCCTGAGTCTGTTTGCTCTCAGGGATGCCAGCAAAATTAAATGAGACAGCCAAGCCCAGTGCCAGCCCACATCCAGAAAATGTGGACTCCTCTCCATCTCCTACTCTCCTATTTTCTCTACTGGGGAAGACTGGCTTTCCCAGTCTCAGCTTTCAGTGTATCTTCCCCATCATCCAAACTTTTCTTCCTCCTACAACCTCATCCACTCAGGTTCTCATAGTTTCCTTGTCCTTGGAACCCTACATGGTTCCCCAACTATTCCCATCCCCTACTCAGGCCCATTAGTCTCTCTCTTCAGTCCCACAATCTCTCTGCTTGAACCTTAGCCTTTCAAAAACATTCCCCCTTGCCAAGTTCAGCTCACAGGTGACACACTCCAGGTATCTTCTCCTGGCCACTTTCACCTGTAAAATGCTAATGAGGGAAATCACCTCTCAGGGTGTTGGGAAGATTAGAAGCAACGAAAATAATGCAATGTTTTATTTTGTGTGAGCTATGGGCTTTACACAATAGGGACCAAATTATTATCAGCTCTGTGTCCCTTAAACACTTCCTTCAAGATGGAGAACTACCACTGATTTGAAGCTACTGAGCACTGTTCCCTCAAAATTAATAATTTCAAAGCAGGATGAGTAAGCACAGGGCCCGGGATAGGGAAGGAGCTTGTCAAGGTCACATATCAAACAAGGGGCAGGAAAGGGTAGCAATGGACCTCTATGCTCTAGCATGTGTACATGGGACCTATATATAGTAGTACTTTCATACCACTAAGTAAAATCACCTCTTCCTTCAGGTAGAAACAGTTCCCTAAAAGGGGGCATCACTTGGATAGCCACTGTAGCCTCCAGTGTCCCTTGACTGGGGCGCAAGCATGGATATCTGGTTTCTTTTCACCATATTCTGGGCCTTACTCTGCACACAGACACTCTGGGTCTGTGTCTACTCAGTGAGCTTGAAAACTAGATGAATACTGTCCAGATCA